GGTAACAGTTGGATATTAAACGGGGTATCTTTCTCCTCCTATTCCTCCACTCCTCCCCTCACCCCAGCAGGAGGCAGGGTGTCCTACAGGCGCTGTGCTCTAGTGGGGATGGTATAAAAATTAAAATTTCAGCTTCTGACCTGCTGGAAAGACTTGTGATTCTAGAGTAGAGAAGAAAGGCCTGGAAGCATGGCTGTCGATGCAAGAGGGTTGGGAAGGTGTTTTGTTTTTGTTCCTTAGTCTAAAAGTGTGCCTTTAAGTTTTAAGAGCCAGAATTCAGGAGGACTTTGCATATAACTCACACCATCGTCATAGGGACAGTGCATCTTGACTTAAATATTTTTTCCCATTAAGAAAAAGACCAGCAGATAGGAAAAACCACAGGGAATATGACTTGGTTTAGAAGCTGGTAGGCCCCTGAGAAAAACATCCAGAACCCCACCACTCCAGGCTGAGCCCCAAGGTAAGAGATCCCCCCCATAAATTTGAGGGAAACCCTGATCTCGAAGCCCTTGCCTGGCTTCCAGCAATTACCATGGGAAACTGCAGGCCCCTGGAGAAGTCCTGTGTTCAACAAGGCACCACAGCGTCTGAGAAGGTTGTCCACCCAGATGAGCCTAAGGGAGGGGGCACCTCACAGAGTCCCTCACACCCTGTCATGGGCAGCTGGTGGCTCCCAAGCCCCCTGAGCCCCTAGAAGTAGTGCAAGGGCCAGTTCATTGGAGGACACCTCAGGTTGGGACAACTAGGACATCAATAGCAGAGGATGGCCTTCCCCAGCCAAGCAGAACCAGCTGCCCCTCAGAAGCCAGATGGGTAGGAAGATGACCATGGACCCGGTCACCACCAACCACCCCATCCTTGCTGCCACGATGTTATATAAGCCTCCCCAGATGCCACCCTGGCAAAGGGAAGGATAAGAGTAGTAATTTTCCCAAAATCACTATTTCCCAGAAGATGAGAAATGATACCAAGTTAGCAAGACAGTTTTCCAATCTTGAGACAAACCAGAGGCCTATGAACTAAACTGAGTTCAGTTAAAAGAAAAAAGAGCATTCGCCTTCTGTGTGCCACCCTGTAAATGTAACCAGAAGGGGCGAGAGGCACTTAGCTGCAGACGACAGCGCAGCTCGGGCACCTCCCCACCACCAGTGCTGGCAGCAGTGCCCGGGGCTTTGGGCAGCGCCTGGCATGGGGCAGAGGAGCGGTGCCCACAGCAGCAGCCTGGCTGTAGCCTCTCCTAGGTGCCTGGTGGAGCTGACAGTGGTCTCAGCAAGGACAGCCTGTCGCAGGGCCATGGTGGGACATTGTCATACAACTTAGCAGAACCGGAAGCTGGGGCAGGGAAAGGAAAAGAAAATTAATAGCAGGCATCCTGTGTGTAAGACCAGATTTGTTTATGTACATATGAGAGACACCTTCAGAGATTTCCAGAAATACTTGCCAGTGGTTGGGGTCATCCTGCAAAATTGCGGGGCAGAGGCAATAAAATTCCAGTTCCTCCCCCCCACACCCTGGCCCGCAGCCGATATCGCCTGGGAAAACATGAGACACAGAGTTTTTCTTTGGTACCTCTCTGCTCACCCCAAGTTCTTTCCCCACCCCTGGCTAATTTTCAGGAAAGACGCAAAACTGAAAAACACTTTTCAAAGGCATGTAAATGTCTTCGGCAAGGATCAGGAGTTCCCAACAGTGGAGCAATGGCCACCCCCGTGGGCTCCCGTTCTCCACCCCTTCCCACGCAGGCCCCACAGACCAGGCCCGAATCCCAGGTGGTCCTGAAACACCAGGGAGGCTCGAGGCTGCCTCTGGAGTGTGGCCTCGCAGACCAGCCACTTGTCCCCCGGGGATAATGACAGCACACCCTTCTATCACGCCCTTCAGCCAAGGAGCCAAGGGTCTTAGCTTCAATTGCTCAACTAAAGGCTATTTTTCTGGGCTGCAAGTCCTCATCGAGCGTGAATATGCAGAACGGAGCCAGGAGTGCAAGTGCACGGCTGCAGTTCCAAGGAGGCCATGTGCCCCAGCTCTCTGCAAAATCCCATCTGGGTTTTATTTTGCTGAGGCCACGGCCCTTTTCTGTGTAACTAGGGAGCATGTGGGAGAATAGCTCTCAGCTCACAAATAGGAGGCCTTGAAGGTGGAGCCTATATTTGGGGTCACGGGGTTCCCACACGGGGGACATCGGCCTGACTTCACCCTAAGCTGCATTTGGGATCTGGGTTAGTGTCGCCAACTGGGCTGGGCCAGATCCCATCTCTCCCCCTGACCTGTTCTCCCCGGCCCACTTCCATCCAAAACTGCCGAGCCAGGACCCCCGTATCCCTGGCTCTGTCTCATCCATGCCTCTGTGAGCCCAGGGGCTCAGGGCACGCACACTCCTGTGGGCTGTGTTGTATCTGAGTGCATCTTTTTTTATTTAGCTCCTTTCTTTTTTGAACACGGTAGGTCCCTTTCAATGTTCTTTGAAAGCTATAACTTTAAGCTTATTATTTTTAACTTTAATCTTAAAATACTTAAGGAAACAAAATGTTTTTCAAAGCATTTAAGGTGACGTGGGTGCATAGGAAAGGAAGGGGGAACCTGATTCAGCACTAAGGCAAAGCCACTGCATCATGACTCCCAGACACCGGGACCCAGGGGTCCGGGACTGCAAGGTGCCAGGGCACAGGCTGCAAGCCAGCAGGCCGGAGCCCACAGCATTTCTAGCCTGCTGTCTGGCTGAGTTGACTAAAGACAAGCTGTTCAGAAGCAATAAGCAGTAGCGTGTGCGGGTCCTGCCCTGTTCTCGTTTGACTCAACTCCTGTTCGGGCATCAGCTTAATCTGGTGCAGAAAAAAGGAAAATGCAGGACTGGCATTCATCGTTGGGCATCTTCTGTTCCTCAGACCCTGGTGGGAAAGGCCTAAGCCAGGAGCCAAGTCCTATGAGGACGCTGGTCACTGTGATCCAGGCAGGGGGACAATGGCAGCTCTGAAAGGACAGCTTGGACAACAGACCGCTCTATGCGGGCTCTGTGGTCTCGCTTTGTAACTCACCCGATTTCTAGGTGCACCAGCAGCTCAAAGGAAGGCCTGTCTTCAAAGCCCTACCAGGAGGGAGTAAAGGTGGAACCTGTTGTCGTTCCAAGCTTCAGTTAGGATGTTTTAAAGATACTTCTGTTGGATTGCGCGGCCAGGTGTGGCTCAGCGGTTGAGCGTTGACCTAGGATCCAGGCGACCGAGGTTCGATTCCCGGTCAGGACACATGCCCGGGTTGCGGGCTCAATCAATGACTCTCTCATCATTGATGTTTCTACCTGTCTCTCTCCCTCTCCTTTCCTCTCTCTGAAATCAATAAAGATATATTTTAAAAAATAAATAAATATTTATTTTTTTTAAAAAAGATACTTCTGTTGGAAAGCAATCTGGAAAAAGGGGGACAGAGAGATCCCAGGAGGTGGGGCTCTTCCAAAGGATGGCAGGAGATGTGAGCTCAATGCCCAGGGCTGAGAAACACAGCCGACCTCTGGGGTCGGAGCTCCATGGCTCCCACGCAGTTACAAAGGGAGTTCCCTGCTCTCCCACCCAGAGGACACACGGGCAGGTGCAGGTTGGATGGTTCCTGCTGTGAGAACCCCTCTGCTCCTCTCCACCACGAGCCCCAGGAGTGGTCAGAGGTGCCCACGCAGGCAGGATGCCTGGCCAGGCCAATGGGCTCTCCACCTTCTCTTTGGCTCCCACGTAGCTTCTAGTCAGCTCGGGCTTGTTTTTAGGCTCTTCAATGGCAGTCGGGGCAAGAGGGAACAAACCCGGGATTTCTGTTCATTGTCTTTTAATCGGCTCTACAGAATTCTGGGAGCCATGGAAGGTAAGACTTTGGTGCAGGTTACTGGAGGAGGAGCACCTGAGTGGGAGTGTGTTTGGAACCATGGTCCCACCTCGGCTTCTCTGTGTCAGGTCCCAGGGCTGGATTCCTCCTCAGGCCCCTCCAGTTTCTTGTGTGTCAGTCAGCGCTGGGCTTCTCTGTATGGAAGGAGGCCACGGTGGGCGATCAGTTTATGCTTCAGGAGCTCCTAGGCAGTTGTCCCGAGGCCTGAGGATGTCCTCTGGAGACAGCCTTTAAAGGGTTTGCAAAGTGCCCTCTGGAGTTGGGGAGAGGTTGGTCTTGGGGATCACACAGAACTTTCATAGGATGGAGGTCAGTGTGTGGATGCTTCCTGGGTCCAACTTGATGGCCGAAATGCCCATGTAAACTCCTGGGCCAGCTGCTTGATGGCCCCGGTGCCAGGGAGAAGGGGTTGCCCTTAAAGATGTCCCTTTGATTTTCCTGGACCCCGCAGCTTGCAGCTTCATATCCTTTTGCTCATTTTGGCAGCTGTGAAGTCTCCGGATCTTCTGTCAGATGTGGGTAATCTAAGCCCTTCAGAACTCCCCTCAGAAGGTGGCAATGCTAGGCCCCTCCACCCCTAGGCTCTGTGTTTTAGCAAATTCACGTGGAGATGCCTCCCAAGCTCTCCACAACAATCCACCCTGGAGAGAGGGGCTGAAACTAGCTTAGTACAGTGACCTTCCTCAGTCTTGACCTCTACCTCTTCCAGGCTAATGACCTTGAAGGCCACTAGCTCCTTGGAGCCATTACCATCTTCCTGGATACCTCTCCCAACCTGGCCAGGGTTAGGGAGGAGTTCTCAGGGTCTGCTGGTGGGCAAATTCCCTCCAGGGCACCAAGTCCTCCCACTGCCAGAGAACCACTCTTTCCCCAACCCCAGAAGCACTTTGATTCCTCCTGTGATGCCCAGGTTGGGGGTAGCCTGGGGTGTCCAGATGGTGGGCTCAACAGGGGTAGGGAGGTGTAGCTGTGTAGTTAGCCCAGTCTCTAAGACCCACTGCTTACAGTATGACCTTGCACTGAGCATTAATCCAGGACTGTGACTCTGTAATCTATTCCTGAGCGTGCCCTAAATGAATGGACAAACTGCCAGCACACGGGCACATGCCAGTTTTATCTCTGTGGAGGGGATGATCCGAGGCAAGCTGTCTTGTACCAGCTGTATGATTCGGAGCAAGGCAAGTCCCTTCTCTGTTTTCTTACCTGAAAATGACAAGTGAGGAGGACAGGAGGGCCCAACTTTGCCAACAGTTCTCTCACATCTACCAGCTCTAAATTCCGACTTTAACAGGTTGCAAGCAGGACAAGTATCCTTTGTTTTTGCCAAGACGTAGACTGGGCTGCCATTGTGGCCCACCTCTTACCCAGCCAGGGAAGTCCCCTAACCCTGGGCACATCTCCAGCTTGAGGCTCTTAGCAGAACACACATCAAAACCCCAGGTCAGGGTGGCGGGTGGGGGTGGGGACTTCCTTTATTTACTGCGAATGATGGAGGTCTCTAGGTTTGAGAACAGCCAGGTCTACTGCTGGCTGAAAGCTACTGAAACGAGTTCCCACTCAGATAGGGTCTCTCTGTGGAATTGAAAACGAGGGGAGAATAAGTACCCCAGTCTGGTTTTCGGAGGGAAACTCCTCACCAGGGAGCCCATGGCCCCTCAGCTCCCGGGGAGCCTGCTGAGCGCCACCATCCTGGGGCCGTCTGCCCCAGCCCCCCGCAGCCTTTCCCTGCCCGCTGTGGCCAGAGCCTGTCCATCGGGGCGCTCAGGCCCGGGAGCGACGTCTCCCCGCGGGGGTCCCCTGAGGATAGACGGAGTGGGCCCCCTTTTCCTGCGGGGCAGAAATGAGAGCCAGAGCCAGCCCGAGAGCCCGCCCTGCCGAGCC